CTTCCCCGGTGCTGGTTAGTGTCTAAACGGTGAAATGATGTAACTGAGAATACATTCAGAATGATACAACCAACAACTTATGACTGAAGATGACATTTGTTTGTAGCAGCTGCTCCCCTCACCTCCTGACTGAGAGGCGGAGCGGACACCTGATGACAGGTGCTACGAGCGACGCGATTGGACGGTCGCGACCTCTACGTACGTGCATGACGACGCAACTGCACGTAAACAAATAACAGGTTTTTTTTCTACCCCGGTTACAGAGTCATTTGGGCCAGCAACAGTTTTGGCCCCCAGTAAGGACGATGCATCGTTATTTTGTTTTCAAGTTGAATATTTGTATTTTCATCAGCATAGCGGCGGCACTAGATGTTATGTTTACTGAAGATTTGTCCCAATTCAGACAGTAAATGTAAATCGATGAAGGACCCAGAGTAGAGCCCTGTGGAACTCCACGGCTCATATTGAAGCACTAAAAGGCCTTCATCATGTTTATCTGCTGAAGGAAGCAAATCAGAGTTTAAAGTGAGTATCTATGAGATGAGTTTGTGACTAATGTGGAGTTCAACATCCAGCTTATACAAGTAAAATGTGGATTTTTTTAAACATACACACACCTTGATAATGAACTCTGTCTGTCGTATAAATTGTGATTCAAAGCATCAGGTGGCGAGAAAATGTACTTAATGTATCAGAAGTGAAGGTATTCAATCTGAAAAACAAACTCCTGTCAGCGTTAGATTCATAAATGACTGTCAAAGCTGTATTATTTCTACATTAACTGGAACACAAGCAGAACTTTAACGATGTGTCTTTGTCCACTTAAGCATATTTTAAGCCTTTTGATCACTGTGTCATCGATCTGCAAAGTAATCAGAGGCTATGGATTAATCTAACATCACTGCCAAAGTAATGCACAATAATAGAAAACCTGCAAACACACAATCAGATGTACGGCTGAGCCCAAAGTTGTTCATGTTCTTTAAAGTTAAACACAGTCAGACTGCGTTACTGATGTTAACGATGAATTTAACTGAGGAAGAGTCATGCTGGAGGTTTTTAGGATAAAAGCACGACGTCTTGTTTGTGCAGAAAGCTGCTCTCCTGCCTGTGAACTCAGCACTTCTCTGAGTTACTGAGGCTGAAGGTGTCTCTGCTCATCTCCGGTGTTCTGTGATCCCTGAAAGGCTTCGACCTTCGCCGTCAGACCCGAGGCTCGTAATGTTTGCTAATATATGGACGGTGGCAGATGGGTGGGATATAAATGAGAAAACCAGCTCAAAGTTATTTCATTGCACTTTTTTTGGTGACCATTACTTTGATGGAACCATCTGCCGTCTCGTGCATGTTTTTGCATGAACAATTACAAACTACGGTGAAGGTCTTCGGTCACTGCAGCAGGAAAAACCCGCAGCAGCACAAAGTCTTCAGGCGTCGCTCACAAAGTCATTACACGCTCTAACTTGGTACCAGAACCGGTAAAAATACGGGTTGTTAATGCAGACATGATTTACAGTTTCAACCTGTTTCTTTCTTTTTTATTCTTTTATATTCAACATATACATGGACACATGTTTATAATAGATGTCGTCTGTAATTTAACAGTCCAGGAAAATTTTGTAAATTTATTTAACCTTAATGTGCATCAGATTTCTTTCAAATGGTTAATATCAGTAAAAATAAATAAAAATAAAAAATAGGTAGATATTTTCATTATAATTTTATGGTCAAGACTAAATTATTATTTATTACAAATACTTTTTAAAAATATGTGGACATTAGTTACAGTTTTGGCCCGTTTTTAATGTAAATTAATATTTTATCAAACCAGGATAAATCTGTAAAACAACATAAACAAAGAATAGTTTAAAAAATATTTTATATAATTTTAAAAATGATTTTTTTTTTGCTGATTTACATGCAGTAAAAAATTGTGTATTTTTGTGGTCAAATGCTGTAAAAGAACAAATAATTGTGAAAAAAAAAGTTTTTTCCCTATTATTTACAGTTAGTCTTTTTATTTATTTCATACATTTTTACTCTTTCTGTGATTTTAAGATATTTTTCAGCAATTTAGCAAAACAGAAGTTTTTTTTAATATATAGATAATAATAATAATTATTAATATGAATAATGTCACATTACACTTAAACTCACTGATTTCTGATGTGCACGTTGTTTACGGTGTCATTAGTTAAATGAGACAGCGAGCGCGACGTTCCTGACTCAGCAGATATTCTAACAGAACAAACTTCCACTCTGTTGGAGTTTCATCCAGAAAGTCTGATTTGTTTTGGTGCTTTTAGATTTGACCTTTGCTGCTGGGTCCTAAATGGGTCGATTAAAGGTCCGGTTCTGGGCCCTGCAGCGGGAAGTCGCCTCCTCGGATGCGTTAACGCTGCAGGAAGCGGCGCCGCATCCTTGACAAGAGGCCTGAGATGCCAAGCAGCGCCCCTGGACCCCGAGGATTAGTGACCTCGAGTGCCTTCGGCGCCATTACCATACCTCCTGAGATGTCGACGACCGCAGGGCGACGCTGCCAAAGCAAACCAATCACACATCTGTTGCTATAAAATAAAGAGCCACTAATCATCTGGCAGCCCACCAACAATAACACTCGAGGCTTTCATCCTCTTCTGGGAAGCTCGGTTCCGTTCACTCACAGGCTGCTGCGCCGCCGGTCCCAGCAGAACTATTAGCAGCTATATATACAACCAGGATAGTGTGTCGGGTGGATTCAGTTTCCGCCCGCTGGGAGTTAGAAGCAGGTGAGCGTCTGGATGTGGTCTGGTCCCAGCAGGCCCAGCGTGAGGGCAGGTGCTGGAGGACCGTCGACCGGCCCGGCCCGGCCCGGCCCGCCTGGAGACAGCAGGGACAGTGACGCGGCGGGGTCAGGAGGGGAGGCTCGGGGTGGAGGGCATGGCTGGAATTCAAGGATCAGGTTTCCCAGCGAAGTGCACAGCGATGAGCTCGGTCCTAATTATAGAGGAGCGGGTCGGGTCGGGGGGGGGATGGGAGGCTGGCAGAGGGGTGAGGAGGCGACACTGTGAAGGGGTGAAAATGGGTGAATGTCAGATTGGAGGGCAGAGCGGGTGTCACGCCAGCAAAGCAGAGGGAGGCGGCCAGTTTCTGTCAAATCTGTTTAATGATGAGCAGCAGTGGAGCCACACAGACGTGAGCAGCGTTCACACAATACAGCAGGACCACAGTTTACCGCACACAGATAGAAGGCCGTGTTCCACTGCAGGGACTCGGTGGAACCTCTGAGCGCGTTCAGGTCCGTCCCTGCAGAACCTCTATCGAAGGGTAAAAAAGGTGAAAGTCTCGAAAAGGAGAATCCCGTAAAAAGCAGCAAAAATCTGACCAGAAAAGATTCGTTATGACGTTCAACAAGTGCAAAAAGAAAAGAAAAAGTGTAAAATAACAGTAAGGCTGCACAATAAAGACAAACAAAGTGTGTTTCTACAGTCCAGTGGTGCAAAAGAAGAAAAATAATGTGAATATTATTCATAGTTTTGTCCTGTTTAATCCTGTAATTTAACAAAAATATGTGTAAAATAAGTTCTTCTTGTGATGTAAATACAGAATGAAAGTGTGTTTTTACAGTGAAGCTGCTTTTTACTTCTTTTTTTAATAGTAAACATGTGACCTAACATGCTGGATATTATCTGTAATTGAACAACACCTTACAAATCTTAAATAGTTTTCCTTTCACACAGCAGTAAAATATGTATGTTTTAAATATATTAAAGATTCAACTCACAGTTTTTTTTCTCTACTGTTAACATGTAAATAAATAGTTTTTAATGTGACTTTATCAGTTATTATCTGTAGTTTCACCCCAAAAAAGGACAAATCTGTAAATAAAAAGCTAAAAACAGTAATATACATAATTTCCCCGTAAAATAACTGAAAATATTCACCACATAATGATCTTATTAGTCGATTTAAAACCGGTAGACGTGCCGTCAGGTTCGACGTGTTCAAGGAACAAAGTGCTATTTAGAAAAATGCAGATTTTTGATGTAAATTTTCTGAAATTTTTTTTAACAAAAAAAGAGGAAGTCTTGTTTAATAGGTGAAACTGAGGGAACATGACGAGCGTGTTCTTTAATTCTTGTCCTTTACAAAATTCATCATACAGGTCACCGTGGCAACGCTGCTACACAGCGCCGGAGTCGTGTTAACGCTGAAGCGGTCGGATCCTAACCGGGCCGACTGGGGGTCCGATCCCGTCCCCTGCAGTGGAAAGCGACCGGAGACGACGCCACAAACAGCGAGGACACGGAAACGCCGACATGTTGGTCGTATGTGCGGCGTTACGAAGCGAGTCCTCCGGCGTACGACACAGTTTGATGTTTCACTCGTAGCTGACATTCGTGTGATGCGCTGAAGCCGCGTTCACGCTACAGGTGGATAAAACACACGCATCTTCTCTCGGACCAATCACGTATCTGAGCAGCTCGTCGCCACGGTGACGCTGAAGATGCAGGAGAAGCTTCGAACTGGTCGTGAAAGAGTCGAACTGAACCCGAAGGTGGAAACAAAGCGAAGAGAGTTCAGGCTCCTTCAGACCTGGAGGCTTTTCCTCAGTCGCCACCGTTCAGGGAGGAAAGACGTCTGGTCACATGTTTTTAACTTTTGGAGACACGGTTGGCACCATAAAACCAATTAATCATCAGTTGGATATCAATTATTTTGATAAGGGATAAATCAGCTCTTTTACATTTAAAACAGTCTAAATTCTGACTGCAGCTCCTCATATGTGAACGTTTCCTGATATCTTTCCTCCTCTGTGGCCGTAACCTGAACATCTTTGGACTAAACTAATCATCTTGGACTGACTGATGCTGTTCGACCGTTTCCAGACGTTTTAAAGACAACAGACAACAACAAAAACCATCATTTGGTGACATAATCATGAATGAAGTGAGGCCGAGCGCAGCCCTGTTTGGTTATATCATCATCCTACACACCAGGAAACACTTTTTGTGTTTTTTACATTGCGTTCTATTTTTTTCTTGGCAGCGTTGGGCTTCCATACAAACCAACTACAAAAATAGAAAAGTGTCTGAGCAATAAAAAATGATTCACTCTGCTCCTGCAGCAGGACTCTAGATCCTGTGCAGGCTAACGCGCCTACTGGAGACACTTTTCCTCGTAAACACATCAGCTGCAGCGCTGCTTCTTCTTCGTCTACTCTAAAATTACAAAACCAGCTCCTGCTAGCCCTCCTCGCGGCGCCTCCCTGTGTCGTGTGTGTGTCACTCCTCCTCCTAATGTGATTAAGACCTTCTCTGGTGAATAAATGCCCAGAGCAAGCTGACAGAGGTGGGCGGTCGCTCGCTCTCAGACGGGACGTCGAGAACAGCGTTTGCATATGTCGGCGGCTAGGTGGCGCTATTCTTGTGAGGCAAACACTTCTGCCAGGGGCTGAAGGGCAGCGAGAGGACGATGAAGAGGAACCCTCCGAAGATGAGGATGGCTCCGGCCGACCCGACGCAGGCCACCGACCAGGACAGCTCGTGGTGCAGAGGGACCGAGTGGTCGCTGGACAGCAGGGCCAGGACGGACTGGTGGAAGATCAGAACCGACAGCAGCACCAGCACACCTGCACAGGTAGACATCAGGAGGGATGAGGGAGGGTTTAGCTAAAAGGACCAAATAGTTAACTAACAGTAATAAATAGTTAACTACCAGTTATAAATAGTTAATTAACAGGACTAAATAGTTAACTAACAGGACTAAATAGCTAACTAAAAGCAACAAATAATTAGCGAAATGGAAGAAACAGTTAGCTAAAAGTACCAAAGAGCCAAAAGTAGTTAATTAAAAGTAATAAATAGTTGAAGGAATTAATAGATAAAATAATACATTTTTAGCTGTTCATTGAATTGGTTATTTTTTTTAAATCAATATATTACTTATTTATTAGTGTTAGCTAACTATTCATAAACAATATTATTATTATTAATGCCAAATAATAACAACAACAACAACAACAACAATAATAATAATAATAATAATAATAGAGAGTTCAAAGTCAGTGAACTTCCTGCTGCTGGGGTCGTCCAGGAAGTATTTTGTGTTGAATGAAAGTCACCTGACAGGATGAAGCAGAAGGAGGCCGGCTTGAGGAAGAAGGCGACTCCTTTGCTGAGCGCCATGGCGATGCAGAGCGAGCCCATGACCATCATGGTGAGGCTGAGCAGGGCCAGGATGGCTGCAGCCAGGTTCAGGTCTGGGAACGAGTCAAACAGAAGCATCTGTAACCGTGAGCAGCAGAGAGGAGCAGAAACACCACGAAGCTCTGAGAGGAAACCACCTGACGAGGTCTGGCTCTGCTGGGATTCTGCTGGGTTTGTGTTGAAGCGTCTGGCTCCGTTTAAAACACATCTACTGGCATCCCACACCTGAACAGGTGCAGCCCAACAGTCTGCCTCCAGCAGCCGCTGCCAGTTCTGCCTTTCTAACAGACACTGTTTCATTAATGAAGCCGAGCAGGTAGCGTGTTGGTCTGTTGCTGCTGCAGGAGAAGAAGCCAAGAAGGAGGCGAGATAAACAACAGAAGCAAACATAAAAAGACCGGCTTGTGTTTGTGTTCTTCAGCCTCAGACGTGCTTCATCTCCAAACCAAATGTTGGTTTATGGAGAAGCTTTATTTGACCAACAGGTTGATTTTCTGGCTGGAACGACACAAAGATCACGTATCTGTGAGCAGCTTCGGGTTACAGTTATCTGTATTCATGGCTGCTACAAAAAGATCATTATTTAGCACATGTTTGTAGTTATGATTATTTTTTAACTATTAATTTACAGATTTTCCCTTTTTATTGATGAGAAACTAATTTTTAAAAAATAAAACAGAAAGAGGCAAAAACTGTGAATAACATTTACATCAGTAATATTTTAACAACTTTTGAGTTGTCAGAGATGATTTTAATAAATTTAAATCAGTCAAAAATCTATTTGCTGGAAGGAGAATTATTTAAGATTTGTGTTTTATTAAATTACAGATAATATCCAGTAAAATCAGTATTAGGTCACATGTTTACTAGAAAAAAGAAAGAAAGGAAGGAAGAGCTTTTACTGTAAAAATCACATTTTTGTATTTACATCAGATAAATACTTATTTGTATTTAAATGTGTATCGTTGATGTTGTGTGGTGGAACATGAGGGTGTAACTCTCTCAGTAACTCTCTGAACTCAGCTTTTGGTTGCTGTTGTTTTGTTTTTGTTGTTCTCGTCTTGTTTTTCTTCACCGTGGATGAGATTTCACTTTAACAAAGTCCTGCAGAGACCTCAGAGACGTCTTCTGGAAATCAGGGAACAGCAGAGATTCCGTGTTTATTTCGTATATTTTACAGCAACGCATAAAACCTGGAATCAACACGTCCAAACTCTGCAAACTACAGATATTTAACATTTTACGTTTTTATGTAGTTTTCACAAAACAATTCTGCTGTTCAGATGAAAATTATCATCACTTGATGGCTGCTCTCTGTTGATAGTTTCTCAGTTGCACCAAGGAGCCAAATATTTTTTATTTTTATAGAATCTAATTTGAACATAT